GTTTCAGAGTGCATGAAACGCTCCCCCCCCCCATCATTTGAATTAGGCAGAGATAAAAGTTACCTTAAAAAGTCATTAGACGTCTTTTCCATTTTTGGGTAGACCATAGGGTCAGCACCCCAAAGTTCTTCTCCATCCAATAAAATGGATGGCCTTAGATCTATAGACCTTTCGTGCTGCCAGAAACACTCCTATGCCTAACGTATTGTAAAGGAGTAAAACTGTGCCCAAGAGCTTATTTTGCTCTAGTGTTTACATTTTTAGTGTGCTTATTCCAGCTCAGATTTTTGCTAAAATAGATTTCAAGGTATTTAAAAGAAGATACCACCTTGAGTTTCTTCTGCAAAAACCAAACTCATTTCTTCCTTCCATTCCCAAAAACCAACACCTTGGATTTAATTGTTGATTTCCAAGCTACTTGAGATACAGTACTTCTGAAAAGCACCTTTGGAGGCCTATTGTGAGTATGGGTAGGTCTACACATGCCTATCTAAGGTGCAACTAGCCATTTTTAAGGTGCATTAAGGGCGCAGACCTACACATATCCACCCTTAATACACCTTTAAAATGACAATTTTAGGCTAATTACGCCTTAACCTATGTGTATACAGCTTAAGGTGCCTTAATGCTGCCTATGTTGACTGAGCAGGCTGGAGCCAAGCCTGCAGGGCCCTGTGCTGCTTCCAGGTGCTGCCAAGATAAGGATGTGGTGAGTTTTTCTCTCCAAGGCATAAACGCTGGAGCTGGAGTGGTGGTTCCAGCAGCACTAGTACCTATCAGTGTGTCGACTGGCTTGGAACTAAGTTGGCAGAGGGGGCAGGAAGCGTGAGGGCTCCTGTCAAAGCACAAGGGAAAGGCCTCCTCATAGTCCCCTGCAGGGGAAGGGGGCAGCAGAGTGCAGGCAGGGCCTTTTCCAGTGGCTCCCCTGTGCCTCTCCCTTGAGGCAGGTTTGCTGGTTGGGCAATGCAGCCCTGCAGGAGTGAGACGCCTTGCTGCCCTCCCAGGATTCAGGTATCCTTAGAAACCCTTGCTGGGGCTCCTGCCTGGAACAGCAGGTGGGCTAGGACTGCATCTGCTCCCAGCACAGCTTTCCCTGCTCCGCTCACCTCCACCCTGGGCAAGCTCCTGCCTTCTCTGCTGGACACTGCCCATGGGAGAAGTGGTCAGCTCCTGGAGGCTCTGGATGGCTCAGCCCGAGCAAGCTGGGTACAATGTGGCTGGGGGCTAGGCTTTCTCCTTGGCTTGCCTTATCCATGGCCCCCATCCATGTTGCACCCAGCCTGCTTGGGCTGAGTCATGCAGAGCCCCCAGGAGCTCATGCTGCCTCCCCCATGGGCAGTGTTTCGCAGGGAAGCCGTGTGGTTGCCCAGGACAGAACTGGGTGAAAGAGGGAGAGCTATGCCAGGCTCTAGGGGCAGCCACAGTCCCAGCCTGTTTGCTGCCCCGGGTGGGGGTCCCAGCATGGGCTTCTAAGGGTGCCTGAATTCTGGGTGGGCAGTGAGGTGTTTCACCCCTGCAGGGCTGCATTGCCCAGCCAGAAAACCTGCCCCAAGGGAGAACTGAAGGGCAGCTGGTAGCAGAGGCCCTACCCATGCTGTGATGCCCCTTTGCCCTGTGGTGGGTTGCAGGGGGACTTTCCCTTGTACTTTGACAGGAGCCCTTGCACCTCCTGCCCCCTCTGATGACTTAGTCCCAAGTCAGTCAGCACACCAACAGGTATCACTGCTGCTTCAGTTCCAGCACCTGCACTTTGGAAAACAGCACCTGCCACTTCTTCATCTTGGCAGCACCCAGCAGCCTCACGGGGTCCCATGGGCTAGGCTCACGGGGTCCAGTGCTGGGGAGGCAGGAGCACAGGGAGGGGGTTAAAGCTGGGGCCGGGGCCAGTCCAGATGCGTCTGGGGGGACTGGAGGCTCCCACCCTTTCAGCCAGTGCTGGGCTGCGCTGGCCAGCTATGCTGCTGCGGGCTACAGGGGGTGCTACCTAGGGTGCTGTCCAGGACAGGCTACAGGGGCTGTCCAGGGTGCTGACCAGGGTAGGCTGCAAACTCATTCACATGTACTTAAATTGCTTCAGTGCACTATAGGCTAAGGTGCATTAAGTATAGGCACATGTAAATTCACATGTAGGCACACCCTATTAGTGCATTGTCTAGATAAAGTACGATAAGGATGGGGTCATTCAGTATTATGGGTACATGGAATTGATTCTCTGCTAGCACCTGTTTTAGCTCATTCAGAAATAAAATAAAAAGTACTGGAGGAAGCAAACATCTTGCTGTACACCTCTCATACTTGGGAAAC